GTTTTATTAGCAGTTTATAGCTGTTGGGTGAACACAGCAAAAAGATATTTATGTTTTGATGTGTTTGTATTGTTCAAAGCATAGCAGTAACCAACAGTGATAGGTCATCATGCTTTGTGTGTTCCATATCTCAGCAGCTTGGGCCTGTGTCTAGACATTTAAACACATATACTAGTTAGACATGCATAGATCAGTTACTTCAACAATAGTCATGCCATAGTTCCCCTGTGGTGATGGTATCATGCTTCTGTTTTATGCAACTAACATTTTGGCTTGATTTATTTTACTTTCATGAATTTAACACTGTTGATAAATTTCCCCTTCAGGCAGCTTTACACTCTTAATGCTATATTTATTTTATGATGTTGCACATTTCTTATATTTACAAAATATTTCATTCTATGTAATCTAGCTTTAATAAAAGTATTATCACTCTTGTCACGTTTTCTTTTAAATTGCATTTGTTCCCTCCAAAGGTAATCACTGTATATTTACTTGTATATATCTTTTAAACTAAAATTAAGCTTTCTTCCTTGTGTGAATTTTTGTTTTCTATTACAAAGTTAATCAGTATAAGTAATATCTGAACTGTATTGTTTTTTGATGTTCCAGTTTTTTCAGTTCTTGATGCATTCCTAGATATTTGATAAAGTATTTCCTGCAGCTTTTGGAACATGATTATTAAATATGTGTTTCAAATGTATCTGACATTGATAACCAGGTAATGAGCAGGCAGATAGATTTGCCGGTTCTGCACCACTTGGTGGTGAAATGATGTTGTGAGGGCCCTTTGGAAGCGAGTGAACACTGCCGGGGATCTTGGCGACACTCAACACTCAGTGAAAAGGCGAGACTGATATTCAGTCAGATAGTTACTGGTGCCATCTGAATTTTAACTCTGCTTTCTGCTGAAAATGGGGACGGAGTGCTTATGGGAGTGTCCCGAGTGCTGTGATGTCAATTCTTAATTCATCATTCAGCATCCTTATAGCTAGGTTGTGAGCTTCCCCCAGCTGAAGCAATACATTCGAGACTGAAGACTAATTATTGGGCTATTATAGTAATATAGATACTTGGAATATTTGAATATAGAATCAGCACTGAGCGTTTGTTCTCTCCTTCTGTCCTGTATCCCCAGTCGGAGCATAGACCCACACCAACCTACACCAAGAAGACCTATCTTTTCCCATCTTGTACACATCCTTCCATCGCCTCTTTATATTAATCTGTATGTCTGATTCTCTGGTTCACGTTTTTTTTTTATAGTCTACTTGTATTTTTTTGCACACAGAAAAAAATATTCTAGCTATTCTATTGTAGAACTTGTAAGTGTATATCCTTTTCGGTGCCAGAAGTTTGTTTAGTTCTGTACATAAACCCTGCATCAGTTTTTCTGAGTTTGTTCTCCACATTTCTGTGCCATGTGGCAGTACCTACGTGACATTAGAGTTAATTATTCCAAGTTTGGTTCCTTTTTTTCCCCCTAACTTTGTTTCCTAGTACTGTGAAAACTCTTCTTGCATTTTACATAGATATATATGTGTGCTCTCGATTCTCACATTATTGTCTGTATTGGGTCCTAAATGTGTGTGATTCCATCTCTCGAAGGATTAAGGTTCCCCCACACAGTTCAGTACTCGGTAGTTTCATTTATTTGTATTGTCTTTCCTGTCTAAATGTGCTGAACACTGAGATTACCGATTATGTCAATTCGTATGGTAAAAGAAAAGAGGAATTGGACCCAGCAGTAAATGTCAGCAGTGGTTCAACACTGCAGTTTGGGCTTATTCTTCAGTGTTGGCAATAGTAAGTTTTTGTCCTGTTCTGGAACTGAATAAATTTCATAAAACATTGTCTGAGGTTTCTAGGAAATTGTGCCGTTGGCCATCACAACACTGACTGTATCTAGTCTCATTGATTTTTTTTCTTGCAGAATAGCTCACCCAGATACAATACTATGTAAACAGGATTACTTAAATTTGTTATGTGTTTTAAATTTTTGACATCGCAAACTTCAAGAGTATTAAAACGTTTGTAAGCCTTAACACCAGTGCTGAGACATGAAAATAGTTTTACTTAGCAGTAAGTATCTAGTCTTTACTTAATGATGGGATGTACACACGTCATCCCATTGTCATATTGAGGCATAGATCTGTATTACCACCCATTTATATTTAATAGAGAGCTGTTTTACTGGATGTAATTGAATTTGTCAGTGTTAGTGAGAAATGGATGTTCATGGATGATGGACTTTGAGCTGTGATTTCTAACTCTAGCTGGTAAAATTCAGGATTAATATTGACATTAAGCAAAACATGAAAATAATTGCTTCATAATGTCACTGTGTCAGGCTGGTAGTGGTTTTATATCTGTATCGAGGGGAACTTTAAAATAATTATAAAGTGATGTCACAGCCAGTTGTAAAAATATACTTGCTGACAGTGGATGTGCTGTCTCAGATGTGCAGATATTATAACTGAGATGTGAAATAACTCAGAGCAGCTAGTCCTTCTCAAGATAAACGGTGAAGAAAATTAGATAGAAGAAAATTGTGGACAAAATGATTTGTAAAAAAATCTTAGAGATGAAACAAATAATGCAGTGGCACGTACATAAAATATTTACCTTGAAAGTCATGACTGTGTTGATCTCTTTGGAAACAAAGTGCAGAGTACGGATTAAGGCTATGGGTCTGTATCAGAGAAGTGTGTAGATCGACTCACTGACTTCACAAAACATACAATAGATTTTAACAAGCAGCACAAGAGAAGAAAGAGGCTTAACAGAGTAAGCAGCTAGTCAATACTTTTTTTTATTGAATTATCCAAATCCAGCGCTCTTCCAGTTTTGAAAGGACATAATATCTCAACTGAATCACTTGCCAACACACACAGCTGTGTGGGCATGCTTCTCATATGTATGAAATATTCAGCATCAAGGTAGCTTTGCAGATACTGAATAGACAAGATACAGCATTGAGTTCAGCAAGTTGTAAATTTTCATGACAGTTGTAGTTGCTATGTGTAACTACTATCAGAGGAGAGAAGTTTTATTTGGAGAACATAATTTCATGTACACATGGAATCTGTGGAGAATAGAGTTGTTTATTAGATACATGTTCAAAATGTCATGTTACCAAACAGTTTAGTGCAGAACTAAAAGGAAGTAACACACACAAGATGCAATAAAATACACAAAAGTCAATTTTGTGGGTTTGCTATAATGAAAAGGTATACAGTGTTGCTTACTCTGTTGAATTATTACTTTTAAAATTGTAATCTGATTTCCAAGAGCTTTGGGTTTCTAAAGTTAATGTGGATGTTTTTTTCACATGTACATAAGCGCTCAAATAACAAACTGCATTTACTCCATATCTAATAGTACAGTAGTTCAGAATTCTTCAGCTTGTCGTTAGGTTGAAAACACCACACTTAAGGGCCTGCTGATACTTTTGTTGACACTAAAACACCTCAGCATTCAGTTAATAAAAAAAAGTTTATTATTTTGCTTTGTTTGTCAATTTACATTTTGTTGCCTACTGTCAGATCACTACTCCCTTCCCCCTTTCCCCCACTCTTCCACAGCCCCCAAGTTTCTTAGAATACTGCACATTTTGTATCATCAAATTTAGTGATAGGCTTGGTAGAACTCTTTGTGCCTTTTCACAGTGTTGGTGAACTTTGATACCAGCATAGATATTGGTTGTTGCAAAATGACCGGATTTCAAGTTTTATAGTGTGATTTGAAATGACTTCATTTTATAGATGCTTGTATAGGACAATCATAACTGAATGTTGTACTGATAGATGTTACATCAGTCTATGCACTCAGGAGGAAGTGTTTCTGTGTGTCTAGCAGATATATAATACTAGGCATCAGATTGCTGGCATAAGGCACTCAGGTATCACAGTTCACTTGTTCAAGGGATTAACTTAAATATCAGTGTTCACATGATAAAAGGAAATACTGTTACTTAAGTATCACTGTTCATTTGATGCAAGGACCAATATTTATCATAACTTAATGACAACTGGCATTGCTTTCGTCTTTGTAAATGTTTTCAATTCATTTTACAGTTAGTAATTATTTTCATTCACTTGTTGGTAGAAGTTATTTAAAATTGTCACTGGTTTCTTGCATCATTTATTATGTTGAAATTATGTAAGAAGTATGTTTTTAAAAAATCTGATTTAAGTATACATTTAAATCTCTGCTTGTCAGAAAATAGTTTTCTAAATGAAGCAGCTGAAATAAGTGTCTCTCTAACATTTGTGAATAATATATAAGGCTGTAGCAGTAACATGCTTAATTATAAAACTTCCTGCTTTCTAATTGAGTCACAAAGAAGTACTTTATAATCTAGATGTCACTGTTCAGTTGTACAAAGTGTTGATAGCTTCAGTAGCTGACAGAGGATACCTTCCAGCGTCTGTGCTTGTATCAAGTCATGTGATTATACTGACATTGTAAACAGTCTGAGAAAATATTTTATGTTTGCATGTTTCATTGTTTGACTTTAATAAATTTCAACAGTGGTAACTTTTATAATGAGCTGTCGTTAGAAAATAAAATGTTCTTTCCTGTATATTTTAAATATATTCTGATGTCATTGAATGTATGTAGAGTTGAAGGCAGTTCAGCGGTTTAAATTTTGAGAGCAATTTATCTGAGTAATTAGCAGTTTATGAACCACTGTTGCAAAATGGTCAGATTATCTGCAACAGATGAACTATTGTGGAAAAATGAAGTCAGTTGACCTAAAAAAAAAAATTTCACTTCACTGAGATGACAGAACTGTAGTTATAGTGCATGTTACAAGTTTTAATAGCAAAATGTGTTCATATAAATATCTTCTCTGATTTTATGAAATTAAACAATTGTGAAATTAATTAATGCAATATGAACTGCAATACATTTTGTACAGTTCTACAGTTTCTAGATAAATAAAGTAGTGTGACTGGAGCTGACAAGGAATTAATAGTTTAATAATATGGTTTCAGTTCGAGAAAGCAGAAAACAAAGAACAGCTTCAGCGAGTCATTGAGAATTTCCAGCAATCTTTGAGATCAAAGATCAATCCGAGGAATCTCAAGAGATTTGTGCAAGCATTTATGAAGTAAGCCCTATTCCTGATTCTTACATTTCATGGAATAAGTGGTTGGAGAAAATTATATTTTACTGTTGTTTCTGTAATTTTTTTAAGGGAATTATATTTTACTGTTTCTATAATTATTTTTTTTAAATAATCATAATTTTACTGCATATTTTACTTTCTTCTGAAAGGGCACATTCTGACAACGCATATCTGAAAAGTAGAAAGAGATGTCTTCGCATTGGCACATGGAATGTTAGAACGTTATATCAAGTTGGAAAATTTGACTGTTTAATTTCTGAGGCAAAGAATATGAATTTAGATATTTTGGGAGTATCAGAAACAAGATGGACAGAAGCTAGCTGCCTAAAGAGAGACGATTACATATTTATTATTTCTGGAGGAGAACATCATGAACGTGGAGTAGGATTCTTGATAAAAAGAAATTTAGAGAAGTTTAATAGCGGGTTCTGGGCTCACAATGACAGAATTATATTGATCAGTATCAAGGCAAGACCTTTTGATATTGCAATATTACAGACATATGCACCAACAACAGACTACAGTGATGAACAGCTTGAAGAATATTATGAAGAACTACAACAAACACTGAAAGTTGTAAAATCATCAGAGGTCTTAATAGTTATGGGAGACCTGAATGCAAAAGTGGGAAAAAGAAGCACAAACATATTGTAGGGCAATTTGGCATGGGATCAAGGAATGACAGAGGAGACAGATTGATACAGTTTAGCGAAGAGAACCAACTCATTATCTGTAATACATTTTTTCAGCATCCACCTAGAAAACTGTATACGTGGAAGAGTCCAGGAGATATAAATAGAAACCAAATTGACTATGTAATGATTAGAGACAGATTCAAAAACAACATCAAGAACGCCAAAACATACCCAGGTGCGGATATAAATTCAGATCACAACCCTGTGGTAATAAAAATACAAATTAAACTTAAAAACACAGGAATAAAAATGCAAAGGTCACCCCACATAGACATATCAACTTTGAAACAGCCAGAAATAAGCCAGCAGTACCTAGTGGAGGTTAAAAATAAATATGACAGTTTAATAGTTGAAAGCATGGAACAATATCGACAGGAGAATCCAGAGGACAAAATTAAAACAAAATGGGAATGTTTCAAAACTAGTATAGAAACAGCTAATGCCATCTTACCAGTGAAAGAAAACAAGAAAAATCAAGTATGGATGACTGAGGAAATTATTAACAAAATGAAACAAAGGAAGAAAGCAAAAAACACTCCAGAATATTCATTAACAGACAAAGAAATACAAAATATGTGTAGAACTGCTAAGGAAACATTGATTCAGTTAAAATGCAAAGAAATAGAGGATCTTGAAATAAAACACAGAACCAAGGAAATACATGCAAATATAAGAAAACTTACAAACAAGGAAAAACATTTAACAGGAAATGGTTGAATTAGGGGGAAGGATGGAAAAATTATTGTTGATAAGAAAGATATAATAAAAAGATGGACTGAATACACAGAAGACCTGTTTTGGGACAACAGAGGTGACAAACTGCCAATCCATAATATTCAAGAGGAGCCAAACATATTAAAGTCTGAAGTAGAGAAAGCCATTAAACAGATGAAGCAGGGAAAAGCTGCAGGTGCAGACAACATAACTGCAGAAATGTTAAAATCATTATCTACTTTTGGAATCGATACTATCACAGAAATATGCAATGACATTTATAACTATGGGTACATTCCCAGGGACTTGAAAACATCTGTTTTTATCACACTACGATAGAAATCAAAAGCTGTTGATTGTGAAGATTACAGAACTATTACCTAATGAGTCACGTAACCAAGTTACTCTTGAAAATAATACAAGCAAGAATTCAAAATAGAATAGATAAAGAAGTTTCTGAAGAGCAATTTGGATTCCGTAAAAACAGTGGTACACGAGAGGCCATAATTTGTCTAAAGATGCTGACTGAAAAATATATAGAAGTTTAGAAAAATATTTATGCATGTTTTATAAATTACAAAAAGCTTTCGACAGAGTGCAACATGAACAACTAATTGCAGCTCTTCAAAACATAAGACTAGATGGAAAGGATATCAGACTTATTAGAAACTTATACTGGGAGCAAGAAGCAACAGTAAGATATGACAACATCTGCTCACCCCAGATAGAGATCAAGATAGGAGTAAGACAAGGATGTGTGCTGTCGCCTAGCCTTTTCAACTTATGTACAGAAACCATTTTTTACCGGGACTGCACATCAATGGTAGAATAATAAACAATCTGAGATATGCTGACGACACAGTGTTGCTAGCAGAGAGTGAGCAGGAGTTGCAAGACCTAGTGGAGCAAGTAAACAAAAGGAGTGCAGAATTTGGATTAGATATTAATTTGAAAAAGACAAAAACCATGATATTTAGCAAAGAAAAAAATCAGCTAACAATGAATATCACTGTGAACGGGGTGAAATTGGAACAAGTTAAAAATTTCTTATATCTTGGAAAAGTAATAACATGTGACGGCAGAAGTGAAACAAGTCAAGAAAAGAATAGGGATGGCCAAAAACATTTTCAACAACATGCAAAAGTTACTGACATCAAGAGAAATAAGCAATACATTAAAAATGAGAATTGTCAAATGTTATGTATTCTCAACCTTACTGTATGGCACAGAGACATGGACAATGAACAAACAACTGGAAAATCGTATCAATTCTTAGGAGATGTGGATATACAGAAGATTCGGTCATATTTCATGGAAACAAAAGCTATCAAATACAGAGGTACTGAGGAAATTGGGAATGAAAAGAGAGTTGCTAGGTGAAATAAAAAAGAGACAAGTGAAATATTTTGGCCACATTAAAAGACATAACAGTATTGTAAAGATCATCCTAGAGGGAAAGGTTCAAGGTAGGCGAGCAAGAGGCAGACAGCGTTACAAGTGGGAGGATAACATCAAGAGATGGACGAACAGCAGTATGAGTGAGTGTACATCAAGGGCAAGAGACAGGGCTTGTTGGAGATCCATTGCAGCCAACCTTCATTGTGGAGGCGGCACCTGATTGAGTGATTGACTGCTGTTTCTGTAATTATTTTTGAAGAGAATTATATTTTACTGTTTTGGTAGTTATTTTTAAAGAAAATTATATTTATGGTTCTATAATTATTTTTTAAGAAAATTTTATTTTACTGTTGTTTCTTGAATTATTTTGGAGAGAATTATATTTATTCTATTGTACTGTATTCTATTGTATTGAAGATGGAGATCGAGCATAACATCTGCAAAAACCCTGCGAAGTGCAGATTGCGATACAGATCATCAGTTACTAGAAGCAGATCTGAAATTAAAACTCAAAAAGCTTACCCGAGGACCAAGGCCATTTCGATTTGATCTCACAAAAATACCAGATGCATACAACGTAGAAGTGAAGAACCGTTTTGAGGTCTTGATGTCTGTACAAGAGGAAATGACACCTGATGAACTGGCGGTACAAGCTAGGGATATCTTGATAACAGCAGCTAAAGACTTAATACCCATCAGGACTAAGCAACATAAACCATGGATCACACCATACACGTTAGAACTAATAAAACAACGAAGGGAACTGAAAAAGAAAGGAGAAAACCAATGACAGTAGGATGAAGTATAAATTTTTAACACGAGAAATAAGAAAGTACACAAGAAAGGATAAAAATCAGTATGTACAAGATTGCTGTATTAAAATAGAGCAGCATCACAAAAATGGAAGAGATTACGAAATGTTCAAGGAAATGAAGTTATTGACAAGAAATTTTCAACCTCAGTTAAATGTTATTTGTGACAAGTTGGGAAATACTTTAACAGAATCTAGACAAATTCTAGGAAGATGGCAGGAATACTGCAGCGGAATGTATGATATGAATGACAGTGAGGATATGAATGATATACATGAACCAGTAGCAGTAGAGGCAGAACCTGAACCTTCATTAGATGAAAATTTCATGGGCAATAAGGAGCCTGAAAAATGGTAAATCACCTGGATGTGATGAGATACCAGCTGAATTGATTAAAGCGGGAGGAGAAGAAAGCATAAAAATCTATCATGCATTATGTGAAAAGATATGGAAATATGGTATTTGGCCAAAAGACTGGAAGAGAACTATCTTCATTCCAATACCAAAAAGGGTGACCTGAAATTATGTACAAACTATCGAACTATTGCCCTGATCAGTCATGCAAGTAAAATTCTACTAAAAATTATAATGAGAAGACTGCAAAAGAAAATGGAAGAAGAGATTAATGTAGCTCAGGCTGGATTTAGACAGGGAAGAGGGAACAAGAGATCATATATTCAACATGCGTTTAATAATAGAGAAGTGTAGAGAATTTAATGTAAATCTGTTCTTATGTTTTGTGGATTATTAAAAGCATTTGACTGTGTACAACATCAGAAGCTTTGGGAAATCATGAGGAATATGGGCTTTCCATCACATATAGTGCAGCTCATTAAAATGCTCTATCAAGACCAACAAGCAGCAGTCAGAATAGATGGAGAGACATCAGACTGGTTTGGCATCAAGCAAGGAGTCCGTCAGGGATGTGTGCTGTCACCGTATTTGTTCAACCTGTACGCCGAAAATATAATGAGAAATGTAAGAGATGATATAAACAAGGAACAATATGATGCCCTAAACATCGGTGGTCATGAAATACCAGAAATTCGTTATGCTGATGATACAGTATTACTATCAACATCACAAAATGGTTTAGAAAACTTATTAACCTCACTCCAAAGAAATAGTGAAAATCATAACTTATTTCTTAACACAGCAAAAACAAAGATAATGCATACAAACAAAACTGCCATGGAGAAGGATATATATGTTAATGAGGAAAGATTGGAAGTTGTGGAAAATTTTGAATATCTTGGGTCACTGGTTACCAACAATGGTGACACAATGAAAGAAATCAAACGGCGACTATCAATTGCTCTTCAAAGACTAAAACAACTGAATAAATTATGGAATTGTACAGATAGAATTACAAAGGTCAGATTTTTAAGAGCATGCATCTTTCCCATTGCAACATACGCATGTGAGACCTGGACACTTACTAAACAAGCGGAACAGCGCATAAATGCATTTGAATATAAATGTTACAGACAGGTTCTAAGAATATCTTGGGTAAAGAAAAGAACAAATGCATCCATACTTCAAGAGCTGAATATTGAAGAGGGTTGGCTAGTAAAGACAATAAAACGAAGAAAATTGAAATATTTTGGTCACTTGAAACGTCATGGAGGTCTAGAGAGAACAATAATGGAGGGGTATATGCCTGGGAAGAGAGGAAGAGGAAGGCCAAGGAGAAGATGGGTGCAGGATGTGGCAGATGATCTCCAGATGGGTGTATCAGACGCAGGACATCTTGCTCATGATAGGAAGGTTTTCCAGAGGGTTGTTATGGCAGCGAGGTTCCGCGAGGGACATGCTACTGAATGAATGAATGAATTGTACTGTTGTTTCTAATTATTTTTCACTGTTATTTCTTCTGTGCTGCCTTTCTACATTTTCAGTGACAGTTGCTTAGCCTTCTCTTCTGCTGTTCCTTGTTATAGTTGTGTTTGAACACAAATGGCAATTCAAAGTAATGCTTATAAAAAGTTTCTTGCTTGATATATAACTTTTTTTTTTTCACCTTTAAAAGAGCAGTTGTGTTGTGGTTTATAGCTAGACTGCCATCTCTGCACCTTTCAGCCGAACACGTCCAATTTCAACAATCCTGTTCATTTCTTTTCATGATGAGGTAGTGGGTCATTCCCCCCACCCCCCTGCCCCACACCACCACACGTCCAATTTTAACAATCCTGTTCATTTCTTTTTATGACGAGGTAGTGGGTTATCCCCCCCCCCCCCACACCACCACACGTCCGAAAATCTGTCCCAGAACCTACACAGGAGCTTCACTTAATAACACTACTTGGATTAAATTACTTGATCTCTTTGTACTGTTGTTGTATCACAGCTTCATGTTAAAAATATTAACCATTATTTGTTTCTCTTTAGGCGGTCAAACATATCGGACCAAGTATCAAAACTGAAGTAAGTAGTAGAAATGTTTTAGATGTTTGTTTTTAAAATAGTCCCACTGAATATTCTTTTTCTTTATTATCTACATTATGAAACACACACATATTTTATCAATATTTTCTCTCAAATGTTATCATTAACAACATCAGTAACTGTGTTTTAGCAGTAATCACTCATTTACCCCTTTTGCTTTGTAAGAATCTTTGGTGTGTTTTTTCCCTCCAAAAATATTTTTTTTTTTTTTAAAGCATCCTTACAATTTACTGAAACTCTAGCCTAAGAAAGTAGCGAAAGAGAAAATGAAGCAAAAGAATTTAGGAGTCTTGTTCTATTTTATTTTTACTTGCCAAGGAAAGTGAGGAAGTTTCAAGAGAGGCATCAATCAATTTTAACATTGAGTGCATTTGTACTTGTAATAATCTAGATTTTCAGCTTTAAGTCGTGAAACAAAACAAAGTAGCCAGCTTAGAGTGAAGAGTGATCTTTTCTGTACCTTATCCAACAACAGACCAAAAATAGAAGATATCTTCAAGACAAGACAGTGTCAGCCATCGCATTGATATTTGGACACTAAATTGCTGGTTGTTGGTTATTGTTTCTTTAGTTCTTTCCTATTAACCAAACGGGACCGTCCACAGGATGGTCCAATATTTTAGAGGGTGGTAGGCCGGTTTTCCTGGTGCTCTATATTTCACAATGTAAGCTCTTTTAATGACCCTAAAACATATAGAATTGAGTTGAGTTGATTCAAGAACTGACATCACAGCACTTGGGGCATTCTCATAAGCGCTCTGTTCCCATCTTCAGCAGCCAGTGAAGAGTTTCAATACTTGTGGTGCCAATAGCATTCTGATTTAATGTCCGACTAGCCATTCCTCTAAACCCCGAGCATCTGCCAGAACCTCTGGTCACTTCCCCCTGCATCAGTCTCACCAGACTGTGGTGATCCATTTGCTCCTCTGAACTGTACATGCTCTCCCACAAGGCATTAACCACATCTGCCTAATCATGCATCAGTATTCCACCAAGTTGTGCAGAGCCAGCCAGTCTGTCCATCTTTTCATTTCCCAACACACCGGCGCAATCTTGTGAAAAAATATAGACAATACTCCTTGCCCGTGTCCTCCACAGTGAAGCATGCCACTCTGCACAAAGCATGCCTGTCTTGACCTTCCTCTGCATGCTGTCTGAGTCAGTTACAATCACAATGTGTGTGAACACATATAAAACATATAGAACTGGCTTTAACACCACGACTGTATGCAGCCTATAATATGTCCATGTCATACTTGATGTCCCAAAAGGCTATCCAATCCAATACACTGAATCTAACATGTAAAAATGTTCTGATTGTCAGTTCATGAACTCAGCAGTATTCATCTAGAATGATTGACTCTTTTCAGGGCCACCCCCAACTGGCACGACATCCTGCCGATTGCACAAAATGTATCCTCCTCCCCTGCAAAAAAAAAATAAAAAATACATTCTCCCAATTGCACAGAGTCCTCAACACACACAAAATACACGGCAAAAATAAACTGCACAGCACACAAAACAGAAGCACACAAAATTGCACAGCAAATGAAATTACAAATTACAAAACTATCCACCCCCTGAAATATTGGTCTGTCCTGTGACCAGTGGTTTTCCTTTGTTTGTGGTTAGCTATTCAGAAAGTACCCCTTTTTTGTGTTATTTGATACTTTGAAATATGTATGTGTGATTTCTTGCCATATACTAAAGAAGGGATCATCTAAACAATTGGAGACCACTGTTATAGTGCTAGGAGGGCTGCGTGGTCTTGAGGCATGGTATCTGCCTCGAGTGCTGGAGGTCCCGGGTTCAAGCCCCAGTGAAGGCTGGAATTTTTTCACATGGACTTCTAGTAATTTTTCCCTAGTCTCTGGGTAGAATGATTGTTAAAAAATCCCTTGGCAGATGGAAATCGAAAAGAGTAACCTAATGGTGCTGCCCGGGCAAAATTTGGAGTTACAAATCTACCTGAAGTATTTCAGGATCCTCGCCGGTGCTACGAAGTTCATGCACTGCGCTGAGATTCTTCGGACTCAGGCTTGAGTCAGATGTAGAACGGAGCACTTATGGCACCTTTATGCCACGATGTTTATCTGTCATCTAAATTAAACCTTACATGCTTGTTTTCAATTTTAATGATGTAAATCCCGCTCTTGATTTGTTAACATTCTTTACAAGCCCCTGAAACTTCTAACTTTTTGGTTAATAACACTGTTGCCCTTAGTCCATCTTAGGTTGTCGATTTCTCCTACCAGCTGTGTAGATGTTTACAGACCGTGATGAAAATGTAACTTTGGACTTCACAGAGTGGTTGAACTCTGTTGATGACGATGGAGGTCTCCATAGCAAAGAAGTTCAGCTGTTCGCCCCTCACTTTAAAAGTTGAGGGATTGTTTTATAGCTGCGTCTTACAGTTCACTGGGAATGTTTTTACGGAGCTACAGAGTTTGTGCTTTGTATGACATTCTTGGCAGGCAGCTAGTATTTCTGCGGAAAGAGACCAAGCTGTATGGAATGAAACCCAGTGCAACAAATTCAGTCCTCTCGACTTTAACTTTAACTTTTAACTAAAGCAACAACAACAACAAAAGATACAAGTGTGGTTAATCGAACTATATCATAAATCTCAAAATATTGATTGGATTTGAATAACAGGTGCCGAGTTCTGATGGTTACAGGCAGCAAAGCATCCTTCAATCACACTGTGCACAACTTGTTTGCCCGCATGAGGGAGAGACTGGATAAGATGGAGTGTGACATCCTAGAAGTTGATGGTGTAGCAAATGTGCTGGAGGAGAAGGTAATATAACCTGTGTTGTTCTCAGACTGTGAGTCCATGCTTTGTCTAGTAAATGTGTTGAGGTAGAAATTGATATAATCGATGTTGTTCTAAAACTGAGCCCAAGCTAAATCTGGTAGATTTGTTGGAGAAGGTATTATAATCCATGTTGTTCTGAAACTGAGCCCATGCTATATCTAGTAGATGCGTTGGAGGAGAAAATATAATCCATCTTGTTTTAAAACTGTACCCATGCTAGATCTAGTAGATGTGTTAGAGGGGAAGGTAAATATAATCCATGTTGTTCTCAAACTGTGAGCAGATGCCAGATCTAGTAGATGTGTTAGAGGGGAAGGTAAATATAATCCATGTTGTTCTCAAACTGTGAGCCCATGCTAGATCTAGTAGATGTGTTAGAGGGGAAGGTAAATATAATCCATGTTGTTCTCAAACTGTAGCCCATGCTAGATCTAGTAGATGTGTTAGAGGGGAAGGTAAATATAACCCATGTTGTTCTCAAACTGTAGCCCATGCTAGATCTAGTAGATGTGTTGGGGAAGATATAATCCATGTTGTTCTAAAACTGTACCCATGCTGGATCTAGTAGATGTGTTGGGAGGAGAGGCTAATAAAATCTTATGTTCTTCTCAAACTGTGAGCCCATGCTAGATCTAGTAGATGTGTTGGAGAAGGTAAATATAACCCATGTTGTTCTAAAACTGTGAGCCCATGCTAGATCTAGTAGATATGTTAGAGGGGAAGGTAAATATAATCCATGTTGTTCTCAAACTGTGAGCCCATGCTAGATCTAGTAGATATGTTAGAGGGGAAGGTAAATATAACCCATGTTGTTCTAAAACTGTGAGCCCATGCCAGATCTAGTAGATGTGTTAGAGGGGAAGGTAAATATAACCCATGTTGTTCTAAAACTGTGAGCCCATGCTAGATCTAGTAGATGTGTTAGAGGGGAAGGTAAATATAACCCATGTTGTTCTAAAACTGTGAGCCCATGCTAGATCTAGTAGATGTGTTGGAGAAGGTAAATATAACCCATGTTGTTCTCAAACTGTGAGCCCATGCTAGATCTAGTAGATATGTTAGAGGGGAAGGTAAATATAACCCATGTTGTTCTAAAACTGTGAGCCCATGCTAGATCTAGTAGATATGTTAGAGGGGAAGGTAAATATAATCCATGTTGTTCTCAAACTGTGAGCCCATGCCAGATCTAGTAGATGTGTTGGAGAAGTTAAATATAACCCATGTTGTTCTAAAACTGTGAGCCCATGCCAGATCTAGTAGATATGCTGGTCTACAAAGCTGTAATTCTTCCAGTACTGCTCTGTGCTTGTGAAACCTAGACTGTGTATCAGCATCATGCTAAAAAGTTGAATCAGTTTCATATAACCTGTCTCAGAAAGCTGCTTAAAATCAAATGGCAAGATAAGATCCCAAATACTGTGGTTCTTGATAGGGCAAACCTGCCTAGCATCCCCCACGGATACTGAAGAATTGTCAGCTGTATTGGACTGGTCACCTAACCTGAATTCCAGCCTATCATTTCCTAAAGAGAGTATTTTATGGTGAGCTCCAGCAAGGGAAGAGGTGCCAGGGAGGACAGAAAAAGCAGTATAAGGACATTGAAGACTGCTCTCAATTCTGTTGGCATCAACACAGCGACGTGGAAAGCTGCTGCACAAGACCATTCTGGATGGTGCACATCCCTCAGACATGGTGCATCAGCCTGCCAGGCAGCGGAGGTTGCACAGGCAGAGAAACGGAGGCAGACTAGAAAGAACCGTTCTACTAATCCCACACCTACTGCGGTGTCCATCTGTTGTCTGCACTGCTCAAGAACTTTTCAGGCTCATAATGGACTAATCAGCCACCTTCATACTCATAATCATTGATCATCACTGCTTTGGATGAAAGTGGTCTTCATCACTCGTGATGGACGAACAACAGATATGTTGGAGCAGAAAGTAAAATTACGTATGTTTTTCTCACACTGTGAACCCATACTAGATCTAGTAGATGTGTTGGAGAAGGTAATGTTGTTCTCACACTGTGAGCCCATACTAGATCTAGTAGGTGTGTTGGAGAAGGTAATACAACCCATGTTGTTCTCAAACTGAGTCCATGCTAGATCTAGTAGATGTGTTGGAGAAGGTAAATATAACCCATGTTGTTCTCAAACTGAGTCCATGCTAGATCTAGTAGATGTGTTGGAGAAGGTAATATAACCCATGTTGTTCTCAAACTGAGTCCATGCTAGATCTAGTAGATGTGTTGGAGAAGGTAATACAACCCATGTTGTTCTCAAACTGAGTCCATGCTAGATCTAGTAGATGTATTGTATGTCCTATTTCTACATCTTTGTTACAGAATAAATTCTTCTTCTTCTGGCTTTCTATCCCCCAATGGAGCATAGGCCCTCAATCAACTCACGCCAGGTTGTTCTGTCCTTTGCCATTACATGGAGCTCTCCCTATTTTCTCCCTATTATATCTTTCTAACTTCATTCTCCAGCTCTCTTCTCCATGCGTTTTCTGGCCTTCCTTTATTCATATGCCCCTGTGGGTTCCAATGCAAAGACATTCTGGTTATGCTGTTCTTCTGTTTTCTCAATGTGTGTCCTGTCCAACACCAGCGTCTTTTGCTCACCTTTTGGTCCACTGGAGCCTATTTAGTTCTCTCCCAAAGCTCTACATTAGTTATTCTATCATACCATTTAATTCCCTCTATTCTGCGCAGGCACCAGTTAATGAATGTCTGTAATTTATTAGTAGCTGTCTTAGTTCTCTATGTTTCCGCCTCTTACAAAAGAACAGATTTGACATTGGAATTTTAAATGTTTAGTTTAGTATTTCTTTTAATTTCTTTTGGCCTCCACAAATTCCCTAGTGCTATGAAAGCTCCTCTTGCCTTTTGTATTCTTATTTTAATATCTCTATCAGTTCCCCCATCTTTATCTACATGACTGCCCAAATAGGTGTACGACTCCACGTCTTGGAATGAGGTGCCATTAAGAGAAACCACATTACATTTTGCCTGATTTATTCTCATTATCTTTGTCTTTCCTTTATGGATTTTCAGACCAAGCTGCTGTGATCTCGCATCAAGTATATTTAATTTTAATTTATCTTGCATCAGATTCCGTGAATGGGACAGAAGAGAAATATCATCAGCGAAGTCTAGATCATCAAGCTGTTTTGTAGGGGTCCACTGAATTTCATTCTTGGTGTTAACAGCTACTGTTTTCATAATTCAGTATATAGCCAGTAAAAATAAGAGAGGCGACAAAAGACACCTGTTTTTATTTCAGATGTATCTGTTAGCTTTCCCTCATGAAGAACTCAACATTTTATGTCATTATATGTTGCCTTTACTAAGTTTATAATTTGGGGGGGGGGGGGGGGGGGGGGGAGATTCCATAGTGCCCCATCAATTTCCAAAGAGATTCCCTATCAATGCTGTCAGATGCTTTTTCATAGTCTATAAATCTAATGTAAAGTGGTGAGTTCAGTTCAATGCTTTGCTCTGTTATAATACATAATGTGGCTATCTGGTCAGTACAGGATCTGTTTGACCGAAAACCTGCCTGTTCATCTCTTAGCTTTTTATCAATAGTATCTTTTAATCTTTCCAAAATAATTCTACTTAATATTTTTCCAGATATCCTTCTCTCCAGTCTGCTGGTATTTCTTTGGTTTCCCAGACTTTACTGAATAATCTATGTAGCAATTCTGTTGATGTGTTTATGTTGGCCCTAATGGCTTCAACTGGGATACCATCTGGGCCTTCCGCCTTTCCTTCCTTGAGAAAATTGATAGCTTTTCTAATTTCCTCTTTAGATGGTATCTCACAGTTGATATTCAGTTCCATTTCTAATGGCTGGATATCTGGGGGAACCTCTTGACCTGGTCTATTTAGAAACATTTCAAAATATTCAACCAATCTGTCCATTTGATCTTTAGTGTTATTAAGTACATTTCCTTGACTATTTTTGATTGATCCAGTTGGCTGACTGTATTTACCTACTAATTTTCTTGTGTTACTGTAAAGTTCTCTGAGGTTTCCTTTTGCTGCCGCTGTCTCTGCTTCTTGTGCTAGATCATTTAGATATTTCACTTTCTCTGCTTTTATACGCCTCCTAACTTCTTTAATGGCTTCTGTGTATTTATCCTGAGCTCTAGCTTTAGCAGCTCTAGTTTTACTATTGTTTAAGTCTGCCTTTTTTACTTTTTCCTTTCTTCAATTAGTTTAATGGTTTCTGGTGTTATCCACGCTTTATGTTTCCGTTCTTTCTTGCCAAGAACTTCTACACAAGATTCATTCCAGATTCCTTTGATCAGCAGACTTCTGTGCTGACATCTTCAGCTAGCTGCTGCAACACCTGGTACTTATTAGAGACTGTAACTGAAAACTGTTCCTTTACTTCTTTATCCCTGAGATAACCTACATTATATTGGTTTCTATTCTTCTTCTTATTCTTCTTCTGATAGGTTTCTATGATTATAAATTATTCTGCATATAATTCTAAGATTACATACATTTTTTCCTAGCATGTATGTGCAGCTGATTTACTAAAACTTTGATGTTAACCAGAGTTTTAAAGCAGACGTTCTGTTATTTGCTCTGTTTTTCTTCTCCTGGCTTTGACACAAAGTTCAAATTAATGAGTGCTTGTATATAAATGCATGCAGAAAATGAGCACTGTTTAGTGTTTTTGTTACCAGCTCTAACATAATTTTTTGTGTGTTTACATTTGGAAGAAATTACATACCCTTTAATTACAGTACCCTACTTTGACACATTTTACATTGTTATCCGATTTCTTCAGAAAATATTAATTATATTTTACTAATTTGTGTTTTAGCCTGAGAGATTTGCAGAGTGTTTTCTGTACTTTCTTCAGGGTATGGGCTTTGGTAAGTTTCAATCATACATTATGTATGTTATCAATATTTGTTTTTCTTTGCTTTACCTCAATATGTGTGTGTACACTATGCGAGAAAAAGTATAAAAACTAACTAGTGTTGTGCTTGTTTACAGCACGAATGTGTTAATATGTGCCTTTTTGCCAATACATTTGGCAGCTCGACTTTGTCCTGAAAGGAAAGCTGGATGAAGGCTGAGTGAAATAACTTGCCAGACTGTTACAGATTTGTCGACATAAGCACTAAGACCATGTTATTATAGATCATGTCCTTGGATTGCTGTCTGATGGTGGAGAAAGCAGTGCTGCATATGCTAAACTGCTGTTAAATTCTCTGCAACAAACACTAGAATAATATCATAGATATCTGTGTTTTGACAGAAATAAATACAGAGTGAACATCGGTTTGCAACAAACTGACAAAATTTGATCCGAGGATTGATGTTTAACTGCTCTAAAGAAGCATTAAATTGAAACTTGATGATTTTTATTGTAGATCTTCCAGCAGATCAAATATATGTATGCACACGTGTATATTGTAGAGAGAACAAAAGGACATGCATGTTGCTATGTGTAAAGAAAGGTGAGAGACGCAGAATAGAAGCATGCAGATTGTGAATGCATTGTATGCAATAGAGAAATGCAGATTGTGAGGCCATATACAGTAGATGAATGCAGACTAAATAAGAGTAAGTGTATACAGTATGTGTGCAAGCAAACTGTGATGCAGCTGTGAAAATGTACACATTAAAGAGGATAATCTGTTTTCCTCTGAATCAAATAATTAACTGACACAAAGCAGCCTGCCTATTTATCTCTGAATTGTTTGTCATTGTTCCTGTGTGGGTTCCGGGGCCTCCTTATAGGGACAAGAAGAATAGACCCGCTACCCCCAACAAGCATGTCGTAAGATTGACTAATTAGGGATGTTTCCTTAAAGAAGAGTGCATCTGCCTGATAGGCTAGGAACCAGCAGTTGGCATACAAGTAAGCCAGATCTGTAAAATGGATGTGCATGCCAGACTCAGATTTTGGAACAAGACTGCAGTCCAGAAGTAGATAAACAACAAGAATTTTCTGCCAGTGTTTACACGAGATGAACGCAGAGAAGTAGAGGAAGTTTGTCATTGGCATATCTGTGTCTCTTCAGAATAATCCTTCTTAGGAATAGACAATAACTCCATCCTGTATAATGTTTACACTCCTTCAGATTGTGTTTTTTGGTAACTTCACCAGGCATCAATCTCCAACTCTGCTAAATGGATTAGCTGTTTGCATTATTATATTGGCTTTAAGCTTTTCTGTCTGCAGCAGTTTTAAAAAGTTTATTTTTTCTAACATGATAATCATCAAAGACTTGGTCATCTTTTCAGCCACTGTTTTATATTCCATGGACCTACAGCTTTTCTATCTGCAGGAGTTTTATTAATTATTTTTTTTTTCTAAATTTATAATTATCAAAGACTTGGTCATGATAATCATCAAAGACTTGGTCATGATAATCATCAAAGACTTGGTCATGATAATCATCAAAGACTTGGTCATGATAATCATCAAAGACTTGGTCATGATAATCATCAAAGATTTGGTCATGATAATCATCAAAGACTTGGTCATGATAATCATCAAAGACTTGGTCATGATAATCATCAAAGACTTGGTCATGATAATCATCAAAGACTTGGTCATGATAATCATCAAAGACTTGGTCGTGATAATCATCAAAGACTTGGTCATGATAATCATCAAAGACTTGGTCATGATAATCATCAAAGACTTGGTCATGATAATCATCAGACTTGGTCATGATAATCATCAAAGACCTGGTCATGATAATCATCAAAGACCTGGTCATGATAATCATCAAAGACTTGGTCATGGTAATAATCAAAGACTTGGTCATGATAATCATCAAAGACTTGGTCATGATAATCATCAAAGACTTGGTCATGATAATCATCAAAGACTTGGTCATGATAATCATCAAAGACTTGGTCATGATAATCATCAAAGACTTGGTCATGATAATCATCAAAGACTTGGTCATGATAATCATCAAAGACTTGGTCATGGTAATCATCAAAGACTTGGTCATCTTTTTAGCCACTGTTTTATATTCCATGTCTTCTGGTAAATGATGTCTTTTCTTTTATTTTTTATTCTCCACATTATTCTGTTGTGATATTTCTATGCTTACTCAGTTTTATCAGTATGTAGTGTACATATATGTTTCCCAAAGTTTGTCCCTGTTTAATCTCTCAAATGCCCTTTTCCTGAATGAGTAGTGTAGCTGTTTGTTATATTGATTTCTTTCACTAAATTCTAAAGAAAGCACAGCATCTGTAAAAGCTTTTTGATTCTTTTGAACTTAAACAGGGACCAGGTTACATAGGTGCAAATAAGCAAATATACCTTCTTCTCATTGTTAACTTAGCATCCTTAATTGTTCCTAGGAGAAGATCTCTTTAGAATCTGACCCAAAACTTATATATTTTTTGGTGATCAGTTGACATTAAGATTAAAAACTGTACACAAGCAACAGTGATAAAATTTGACTTTTTAGAGAAAATGCAAAGTCAGGTATAGATTACGTTCTAAAAAAAAACAAAGAAAACTTTGACTGAATAAAATTAACATTAGAATATGGTATTTCTTCATTTGAAAATAAACTGTACATATAAGTTATTTCAGAAAGTATAAAAAGTTTTTTTAAATGTACATTTGTAATTTCACAGAGTACTTCTCAAACATAAATGCATGACTAGCGTGTCAGTATATGCGACTACATTACTGCTCTCTAACAAGGTGACTTGACTTCTGTATATTATTTTGTTTCTTTCTCTCGTAAGTTGGAGGAGTTCCAATGCCCAGAGTACAGCGCTCAGCCTCTATTGACAGCACTGGGACGCCACCAGGTCGAACACGCTCTATGTCTATGGAAGAGGCAGACATGCCACGTGGGATCTACTCCATGAGCCCACCAAAGTATGGCTCCCCCACAAGAGGTAGCTCTGGGGATGTTCTATCTACCAGCCCTACCAAAGGTTAAGCTACAACTAGCAATACTAAATTGGTGAAATGTTTGTTGACAAAACAGCAGTGTCATTCTTGAACAAACATTGATATACATATATATAAAAGAATTTAGTTCTGAAAGTCTAGTTTATGAACATTTTAAGTTGATTTTATGTACCCAAAAACATACAATTGTTCATATACTTTATGCAGTGTATGTATTTTATGGACGAGAATGAAAGAAATGTTTAACATGTAGGTTTTGTTTTTAACTAGTTTATGGTTCTGGGAAACTTTATGGTGATAGCTTGAAGGATATCCAGGCTGATGAACATGATCAGATGTCAGCGGTGAAGAAAAGCACAGAGCCATATCTTCTGGCTGTTGTATGTTCACAGTGTCAGCAGTAGAGCCATATCTTGTGGCTGTTGTATGTTCACAGTGTCTGCAGTAGAGCCATATCTTGTGGCTGTTGTATGTTCACAGTGCAGCAGTAGAGTCATATCTTCTGACTGTTGTATGTTCACAGTGTCAGCAGTAGAGCCATATCTCCTGGCTGTTGTATGTTCACAGTGTCAGCAGTAGAGCCATATCTCCTGGCTGTTGTATGTTCACAGTGTCAGCAGTAGAGCCTTGTCTTCTGGCTGTCGTGTGTTCACAGTATCAGCAGTAGAGTTATATCTTCTGGCTGTTGTATGTTCACAGTGTCAGCAGTAGAGTCATATCTCCTGGCTGTTGTATGTTCACAATGTCAGCAGTAGAGTCATATCTCCTGGCTGTTGTATGTTCACAGTGTCAGCAGTAGAGCCATATCTTGTGGCTGTTGTATGTTCACAGTGTCAGCAGTAGAGCCTTGTCTTCTGGCTGTTGTATGTTCACAGTGTCAGCAGTAGAGCCTTGTCTTCTGGCTGTTGCATGTTCACAGTGTCAGCAGTAGAGCCATATCTCCTGGCTGTTGTATGTTCACAGTGTCAGCAGTAAAGAAATGCATTGAACTTGGGTGTCTGACTGTTTCATGTTCACAGTTTTATATTTGTTGTGATCTGTGATCTATTCTAACACTTTGAAGCCGTCTTGGCTAGTTTGGCCAGTCTGGCACCTGATTTGTGTGTCCGATAACACAAGGCTTTTTTTTTTTTCAAAGTTTTGGAAAGACTTACTGCTTGTCACTTTTAAATTTATAAACTCCATTTTGTTTTCTGTGAAACTTGTCACAAGCAAAAAATACACCCAATCTTTTATTACAAGGAAATTTAAAAAAGCTTGAGAAATGAAATTTGAGAATCTTTCTCTCCATATCCATGTCTTTTGTTTCTATGTTTGTTTAGAACAGTTCACTAATTTGGAAAGATGTAAACAGATATTTATGATTTGTGTTGATAACAAGAAGAGGCAAACTGTGGTGACACAAGAACCTGAGAACAGGTCAGCCATCAGAGAAACTAAGGAGTTTATTTATGGCACTTGTAGTAGTTGTACAGTTCATTACAAAAGCTACAGTTGTGGCATTTAATTAAAGTATAGAAATTATGGGATTGTTAAAGTGGCAATGTGATTCTCTCAAAGGAAAAAAGTGAAGGAATGATCAGCCAAGGATACGCTTCATGAAGACAGAAGAGGAAGTTTGGTCAGCTTGTGGTTGGCTGTGGACAGAGCAGAAAGGAAGAAGTTGTGCTACAAGATACCACTAGCTCGAGTGCTGAATATGCACAGAATATTTTGAAACAAAATCTTGGGCTACAAAAAAAGAGACAAAAATATGACATTAATAAATTGAACATTGAGAACTGGGACCAGCATGTCCTCTGTGCTCACTCATGAGTCAGCAGTGACTTGACCAGTGTAGAATAATAATATTCAAGAGAACATTTCAAACATATTAACACAAACTTGCAGAATCAACTTTTTTTTTTTTTTTTTTTAATTCTGCATTCCTAATTTGTGTTTGGAGGACAAACTAACTGATTTGCCCACTGTGATAACTAAAATCTTTATGCTTACACAAGTAGATTCACAGTAAATAGCTTGAGCACTGGCTGTACTGTTGCAATGATCTTCATGTTGATCAGTACTGAGTGCTACTGTAGAAGATACAAATCGAAACAGTTGTGTATTTGTGAGCACCTGGAATAAATCATGTCACATGCACTCATGCAAACACTGGCCAAAAACTGTGATGCTGCACTCAAGTTTCCTGGAGTTTTCAGTCAGCCTCAAGATATTTCTGTGAAGATGAGTCTTCAGTGCTGTCTTTATACTGAGAATGTTTCAAGTGATTAGAGGCTTTGTTCACCCAAATAACGTGAATGTTTCAGTTCAGTTTTGCATTTATAATGTGGTGCCAGGAGAAGCTCACATGAAATGGTTGTTTATGTTGTTATTGCAATGATTTGTGATTCAGTAGATTTGTAGTTCATCTAATTAATAATTGATTGTATTCATAGTGTATTCATTGTGATGAACAGTGAACAGCTATGCACTTTGTTGTTTCTTTAAATATGAATGTCCATACCATGCAGTGATTCATGACACTGGATTATGGGATCAGCTTTATGTTAGTCAGTGAATTTGTGCAGACGGATGTGTTGTGAACTTGTGGTGGAAACAAACATTCATTGTTCACAGCTTGTCCAGATTTGTAGATTGTTACACTTTATAGTATTGTCTTCAGTGTTTTATAAAGCAAAACCTTAGGAGTGTTTTGTCTGTATCATTATTATAAGAACTTCTTCTGAATCCTCTTTATGTGTTTTCATATGTATCCTTAGAACTTCTGGCTCTATGTTTGTCATGAATATTTCATCTGTTTCCATGTTATGAGTGTTTCATCTGTATCCTTGTTATGTTTCATCAGTATCTTCATAAAATTATTTAATATAAAATCTAATCAGATGGCCGGTTCTGCCCCACTTGGTGGTGAACTGATATATGACAAGCTGGATGTTGTGAGGGCCCTTTGGGAGTGAGTGAACAGTGCAGAGGAACAGATAGATCATTACGGTCTGAGGAGAATTGCACTGCGAGGAGTTAAAAGAGGATCTGGCCAACGCTCGAAACTCGGGGAGGAGTGAGACGGATATACAATCAGACTGTTACTGGTACCATCGGAATTTTAACTTTGGGCTTGCCGCTGAAGATGGGGGACGGAGTGCTGTGATGTCGATTCTTAATTCAACATTCAATCCCTATCTTCATGATGTTATATCTGTATCCTTGTTATTATGTTTCATCTGTATCCTTGTTATTAGGTTTTATCTGTATCCTTGTTATTATGTTTCATCTGTATCCTTGTTATTAGGTTTTATCTGTATCCTTGTTATTATGTTTTATCTGTATACTTGTTATGATGATTCATCTGTATTCTTGTTATGAGTTAAGTGTTTTCCTCTGTATCCTTGTTATGATGTTTCATCTGTATCCTTGTTATGATGTTTCATCTGTATCCTTGTTATGATGTTTCATCTGTATCCATGTTATGAGTTAAGTGTTTTAACTGCATCCTTGTATTAGAAATAAATGATTCCATCGGATCACAATATGTCACTTGTTAGTGTTGTGCTTGCTTCTGCTTGAACCTGTGCCAGTTGTTCACCAAGTCATTAGCTTGCTTCAGCTTCACCATGATCTGTAACTATATTCAAACTCTTAGTGTTTTTTTCTATGTGGAATAGAGCAAAAAAAAAACTTAGACCTATATTTTACTGTTTCACATAAGTAGATGTTCGTGGTAAAAAAATTGTGCCATTCATTGGTATACATTTTGATATACATTTTTTTACAGTTAATACAGTGTCTCCCTAGCCACTCCTTTGTTTATTTTCTTTATTGTTTTGTTTTATTGTTTGGTTTAAAGCCCATACATTTATTACATTTAACATAATCAAGAGAGGAAGCTTGATTCATAGTCTTCATTATAAATATAGCTATCACAGTATCCAAGAATGTTGCCAATATTTTGCTGAATATTGTCATGAAACTGTTCTATGTTAAATCCCATATCATAGTTTTACTGTACAGGGTGTATTTGACATTCTGATACCTGTGGTCTGTAAACTGCCAACTTAAACTTAAACTTTGCATAAGTGAATGATAAGCTGCTGTTGGTTAAAACAGTCTAAAGACATTTCTGTTTTGCTAAAACAGATATCCTATGTCAGATAAATTTGTAAAGTTTGCTAGATCCCCAGCCTGACACATTTTGAGTTTTACAAGAAATTTGTATAATTACTTTTGTCAGTCCAAGAAAATGTTTAATTTGTTATGATAGCTGGTCTCTTCCAAGTCAGTGTCCTGCAAAGAACAGTCAGGAATAGCTGCAGGTGGTATTGTTGGGCTATTAAAAAAAGGTTAATTTTGTTTGAAAGAAAATTACAGATGGTAGTCAAAGTATTGTTCATTTTTGGACAACCAGCGTAGGGAAAAGCCTGTATTCATTCCTCACTTGTAGCTTTCAGTGACAGTTGACATCCAGCAGCCAACATCAGTGACAGTTGACATCCAGCAGCCAACATCAGTGACAGTTGACATCCAGCAGCCTACATCAGTGACATATTCATGACTGTCAACAGTGACTGATCACTTTCTCCTAAAGGCTTCAGTATATAGGACAAGTGAACCCAAATAAACATTTCTATGATCTTCTGCCACAAACTGAAAACATGCACATCTGGAACAGTTTACTGACACATTTTGTCTGTACAGAAATGTTATCAAAACATTCTCTAGTAAAAGTGAAATTTACCTCAAGAACCAACCTTATTACCAATTCATTCATTAATATACTTTTAAAGCTCCCTAGAAACTAATGTATTAAAAAAAATGTGATTCTACTGAACTTTTGCAAAGCTTTGTCGTGTGGCATTTATTCACTATGCATCTAGATAATGTCATTGTAAACATCTGGAGCAATGTTTGTATTTGTCATGTCATCAAAAACTGCAGATATTTCTCCAGCTTGATTCTAGTACTTGTTACTTGTATCCAGTCTTAAAAACTGAATGAGTTGTTCAACACCTGTTGCTTAATCTTGATAGT